TGAGGCCAGACTGTAAGGAGGCTTCCAAAGTAGCTACAACACAGCACCCCCCACTCCTCTAACCACCCTACTTCCTCACTGTCAAGCTGAGTACTTTACAGGGCGTAAGTAACCCATTGAACCTTCCCAACCACCTGTGAAATTCTTATTTAAAACCCCTTTTGCCCTAGGTAGGAGTCCTTGGCTGGCACATATGGGTAAACATTAGGCTACTAACTGAAAAGCCGGGGGTTCGACTCCACCCAGAGGCCCCTCGGAAGAAAGCCCGGGCGTTCTGTTGCTAACGGTCACGCAGGCTCTGGAAGCTCATTGGCTGCAGGTCTTCTCGGAAACACACGGGGTTCTAGGGGTTAAATCCACTGAGAAACAACTGGTTTGGTTTTGTTGGCTGCCATAGGAGAGAACTGGGGAGCTCTGGTAGCATAGTGGCTAAGGCACTTGCCTGCTAACCAGACGGCTGGCGGTTCAAACCCACCAGCCACTCCTCGGAAGGAAGGTTGGGCAATCCTACTTCCGTAGTGATACTGCCTCGGAAACCCAAGGAGGGGTCGCTATGAGTCGGGGACGACTCGACGGCACATAACAACAACAATAGGAGAGAACTGAGGCAGGAAGAAGTTCAGCTGGGATTTAGAACCAGCCTTATCTGAGTCTTTACCACCCCTGGGGCAGGGAACCAGCAGCCTTCCAGTGAACACCCAGGAAACCAGCTCAACTGGTCATTTCAAACATTCTTTTTAAATTCAAATGAATGTCTGACCTCCTCTAAGGCCACACTCTGTTCCGCTCTCTCTCTACCCCATCACGGTATTCTGAAGGTGAGACTGCTAAGCTCCTTCCTCGGTGTGTCTTGACTCCAATGTGGCCTTGGGAGAATCAATTCCCCTTTTGGGCCCTCATTTTTTCCACAGTAAAATGAAATGTCCTTGGCTTGGCCAATGCCTACTTCCCCTTCAGAGCTGTCCTGGTGGCAGGGCGGCCAGTGCAGCTGTTCTCCAGCGGCTCTTGTAAATAGCACAGGGGAGGGCAGGCATCCACTCAGTGGTTAAACACATGGATTTCTATGTTCAAGTAAGTGTACAGATCTGACCACTTGCCTTTATTAGTGAGTTCCTCAACCTGCCTATGCCATAGATTTATCATCTGTAAAATGGGAACGACAATACCTATCACACAGGAATCACACAGGTTGGTATGAGAATCACTGGGGGTTATGTATATAAAGTACCAGGTACAGAATCCAAAACTCAGGTTTGGTGAGTGGGAATTGTAAGTATATGACTATATGTTCATAGATCTGCTTTCCTTCAATTGTAAGCTCTTCGAGGGCAGGGACTCTGTCCTTATTACTGCCTCCAGGAGCTAGCAAGTTACCTAAACCAGCAGAGTGACTCATTAAATGCTTGAATGAAAACCAAGTTTCTCTACATATGACACCAAAGGCATAAGCAACAAGAGAAAAAATAGAGAAAAGAATCTTATCAAGAAAGTGAAAAGAACACTCACAAATCATATATCTGATAAAGGGCTACTGTCCAGAATAGATAAAGAACTCCTACAATCAACAACAAAAAGACAAACCACTCAACTGAAAAATGGGTAAAGGACCTGAATAGACATTTCTCCAAAGAAGATGTACAAATGGCCAAAATGCACATGAAAAGATGCTCAAAATTTTAGGGAAATGCAAATCGAAACAACAACAACAAAAAAACATAAAACGATAACTGTTGGCAAGAATGTGGAGAAATTAATGTTACAAATACTGTGGAAATCAGTCTGGCGATTCCTTAAGAAGTTGGGATTAGAAATACCATTTGATTCAGCAATTCCATTACTAGGTTTATATCCTAGAGATGTGAGAGCCAGGATAAGAACAGATATATGCACACCCATGTTCATTGCAGCACTATTCATAAGAGCAAAGAGATGGAAACAACCTATGTGCTCATCAACAGAAAAATAAATAACCAAACGATGGTACATACACACAATGGAATACTATATAGCACTAAAGAATAATATAGAATCTGTGAAACATTGCATAGTAGTGGATGAACTTGGAGGACATTATGCTAAGTGAAATAAGTTAATCACAGAAGGACAAATATTGTATTAGTCCACTATTGTAAAAAGTCAAGGAAAAGTTCATATATGGAAGGAAACTGTCTTTGTTGGTTACCAGGGTTACCTACATTGCTAGATAGGTAGAGAAAATTTGGGTGGAGGGAAAAAGAATGTACTAAAAGTGAGTGATTGACACGGTGGCACTCAGGAAGAGGAAGACATAGAGAGGTACACGGGAGGTACAGACAACAAAGATGAACCCTTTTGCATGTACAGTACTGTGTTGTCAGTGATGGCAAACATTGATCTACAGGTGGATGGATGGGTGGGCAGGTTGAACGATCAGGTATGTCCAGGCAGGGGGACGTGTGCCCATGACCATGTACTGGGTTGGCAGATGATGTTTCTACATGTGTATATGCATGTGCCGTAAGAATGTCTGGGTGCATGGCACAGCTGACAAGGGCAAGGCTGTCATGGCTTCTTGGCCACAGCCAGCTACCCTGAGGGAGCAAGCAGTTGAATCTCTGGGCTCAGGACCATGGTCACAGGGGACATCAAGCTCAATTGGCATAACATACTATACACAAACATTGTTCTACATCCTACTTTGGTAAGTAGCAATTGGGGTCTTAAAAGCTTGCAAGCAGTCATCTAGATGTAACTATGGGTCTCTCCTCGTCCAGAGCACAGAAGAATGAAGAAAACCAGAGAGGCATGGAAACAATTAGTCCAAGGGACTAGTCTACCATGTGATCCTCAGTCTATGTGACTAAGAGACCAGAAGAACTAGATGGTGCCCGGTTATCACTGTCAACCACTCAGAGGGGGATCTATGTAGGAGATCCTGGATAGAATAGGAGAACAATGTGGAACAAAGCTCAAAATCATACAAAAAAAAACATGTTTGCTGTCTGACTCCTGAGATTATGGCCCCTAGTCACCCTTCAGGTCTGGAACTGAACTCACTCCTGTGTCTTCCAGCTAAACAATAGACAGGTATATGAGGTGAACATTTACACCAGGTGGATACACCCCTTGGAGCGATCAATTCATCAATCATGGGAGAACAGAGACGCAGTGTTTGCACAGGGAGATAGCTCAGGGGACGGGAGTGCATGGGCGGGAAGGAGACAGGGAAGAGGCAACTATGGGGAGGAAGGTGGAAACAGAGCTGTTACATCGTGGGGAATTGCAGTCAATGTCATGAAACAATATGTGCATGACAGGCTGGATGGAAAATGAATTTGTTCTCTAAATTTTCACCCAAATCACAATAAAAGTAAAATTGAAAAAAAAAAAATTGGAAAAATCAGAACCCTCATTCACTGCTGGGAACATAAAATGGTGAAGCTACCATGGAAAACAGGGAGCTCTGGTAGCATAGTGCCTAAGGCATATGACTGCTCATCAGAAGGTTAGTGGTTCAAGCCCCCCAGCCGCTGAGCAGAAGAAAGATGACGCTATCTACTTCTATAAAGATTTACTGCCTTGGAAACCCAATAGGGGTTGCTATGAGTCGGAATCACAGTGGGTTACTGTGGAAAACAGTGTGGTGGTTCCTCAAAAAGTTAAACATAGAATTCCATTCCTGGGCATATACCTAAAGGAACTGAAAACTCACTGCCAAACTCACTGCCATTCTATCCATTCTGATTCATGGTGAGCCCATTGCATTTTCCAATCTTTAAGGAAGCAGATTCCCTCATCTTTCTTCCGTGGAGCGCTGGTGGATTAGAATCACCAGTCTTTTATTTAGCAACCAAATGCCTTAACCACACTACCCCCCCCAGAGCATCTAAAGGAATAGAAAGTAGGACTCAAACAGATACTTGTATACTAGTGCTCAGAGCAGCAATAATTCACAGCAGCCAATTGCAAACAATGCCAGCGTCCATCAACAAAGAACGGATAAATAAAATGAGGTATGTCCATATATGGGGTATTATTCAGCCATAAAGGGAAATGATGTTCTCATACATGCTACTACACGGATGAACCTTGAAAACATTATGCTAAGGAAAATAAGTCAGACACAAAAGAACAAGTATTGTACAGTCCTACTTATATGAAAAGGAGCTCTGGTGGCGTAGTGCCTAAGGCATTTGATTGCTAACCAGAAGGCTGGCAGTTCAAATCCACCAGCCACTCCTTGGAAGGAAGGTTGGGCAATCTACTTGGAAACCCAATGGGGGTTGCTGTGAGTTGTAATCGACTCGATGGCAATGGGTTTGGTTTTGTTTGAATGTTTAGAATAGTCAAATTTATAGGGACAGAGAGCAGATTAGGAGTCACCAGGGGCTGGGAGGAGGGCAACGGGAAATGACTGCTCAATGGGCACAGGGTTTATTTTTGGGGGTGATGAAAAAGTTTTGGGTGATGGTTACACAACATTGTGAATGCAATTAATGCCACTAAATTGTACACTTACAAATAGTTAAAAAGGTAAATTTTGTGTTTTATGTATTTTATCACAATAAAACAAATAAAACACTAAATTCTCTTCCAGAGCCCTTCCTGCTCTCAAATACTATGATTCTATAAATAATCTATCCAATGGTGGAAAGAGGAGCTCTGGTGGCACAGTACCTAAGGCGTTTGGCTGCTAACCAGAAGGTTGGCAGTTCAAACCCACCATCTGCTCAGTGGGGGGACGATGAGGCAATCTATTGCTGTAAAGATTTACAGCCTTGGAAACCCAGTGGGGGTTGCTATGAGTCAGAGTTGACTCGATGGCAGTGGGTTTTTTTTGGGGGGGTGGGTTGGTGGACAGGAGTTAGTGAGTGTCCTGCCACTGGAAGCATTCAAGCAAGAAGTGAAGCGACACAGGATTACAGACGCGGTAGGGGGCCAGACTCATCGAGGTCAGGCCCGTGTCTAACCAGTCTCTGTATCCTCGGTCCCCAGGAACGTTTTCACATTGAGGCTCATACCTGGTAGATGTGCTGGACGTGCTGTATCTTGGGACCTTTGGGGGTGAAGCTGATGTAGAGGGTGGAGTTTTCCTGGCTGTAAAGAGAATGAACAAGATGGGGAGCTGCAGAGACAGCAGCACAGCCTGCGGGGGAGCAGGGGCCCAGGCCAGGGCACCCCACAGGCCTCATCGCACAGCCTGCAGAGGGCAGAGGCCCAGGCCAGGGCACCCCACAGGCCTCATCGCACAGCCTGCGGGGGAGCAGGGGCCCAGGCCAGGGCACCCCACAGGCCTCATCGCACAGCCTGCAGAGGGCAGAGGCCCAGGCCAGGGCACCCCACAGGTCTCATCTCATGTAATTCTGACACCCACCTGATGTTTCCCCTTGGAAACGGAGGCTCGTGGAAGGCCCCCGGGTCGGTGTGCCTTGGAAGGCCGTGCTGTCCACCGAACCTTCCCAGGGCCAACTAAGAAACCCAGGCCCCATTGCTCAGTTCCCGGATAATTTCCTCCGCCTCCCTGGGAACCCATGGACTCCCTCTTCCACCCCATCTTTCCAATGTTAACCGCTAGACTGACCTTCCTGGAGTCACTCTCTGATTCTGCCACTCACCTACTCAGAAACCATCAATGGCTCCCTGCTGCCCTTAGGGTCAGGTTCAAAGCCTCCCACGTCTGGATCCCACCTGTCTTCCTGGTTCACCTTCCCACTACTCCCTTGCACATACTCACCCCCTGCTAAGCCCGCCTACTCTCTGCTTCCCAGATCTGTCCCTCAGTCTCCATGCTTTTGCCTACGCTATTCTAATGAAGGAGCTCTTGTGGTGCAGTGATTAAGGCATTTGGCTGCTAACCAAAAGGTTGGTGATTCAAACCCACTAGCCGCTCTGTGGAAGAATGATGAGGCAGTCTGCTTCCATAAAGATTTATAGCCTTGGAGACACTGTGGGGGTCACTATGAGTTGGAACCAACTCGATGGCAGTCAGTTTGGGCTGTTTTTGCTATTGTCTCTGATGAGAATGTCATCCCTCCTGGCCCTGATCCAAATCCCACCATCCTCCAGACCCCAGTTCCCGGCCCTTCCGTCTCTCCTCTGACCCCTACTCATCTTTCTCGGCTCTAATTTCATATCCTACTTCAGGATGCTGGTGGACAGTTAGGTCAAAGCACTCGAGAACTGGGCTCGGACACAGTCCTTAGCTCACTGAGCCACCTTGAGAAGGCCACTCTGCATTTCTCAGCTCAGTTTCCTTTTCTATAAATGAGAAAATACAACTAACAGTCCTTCCACTACAACCTTCTAAGATTCACTGACTCCTTGAGTCTGAATCTGGTCTTGGTCTCCAACTTGACTGCAGACCCTCTCAAGAACAAGGGGATGGTGAACACTTTTCTCACGGCTCTTCTAGCTGAAAAGAATAAAGAGCTCTCCTGGGGCTTTGGAGTCAGACAGACTTTAGTTCTAATCCTGGCTTCAGTATTTCCTAGCTGTGTCACCTTGGGCAAGTCCCTCCCTTTTCTAAGCCTCAGTGTGGTCATTACTAAAACTGAGGGAGGCAAAGCTGCCTCACAGAGATGCTAGAAGCTTCAAGGAAAACCATCAACCATATAAGGAAGCCAGTGGCAACGTGACATCGGCCTTCAATGCTTTTTGTTCCATCAGTAAATCCTGACTTGATTCAGAGGTCTTAAAGCGCCTTCACTCTTTGGAGCATTGAAAACTGTTGGGGTTGTGACCGGAATCAGTCCTAATTACTCCCTGGAGGCTCTAGGAAAGAAATGGGCCTTAGAGGCAGAGCCTGGGGACCCTGGGTGTTTGAGAAGGTTAAGGGGCCGCCAGGAGGGACTCACTCCTCAGTGAGAATATTGATGGGGTACATGACTGGGATGTTGGCGGTGGCCGAGTTGTCCTCCAGGAGGCTTGAGTCCTCATTGTCACTGTGTTGGAGCAAGACAGAGGTCAGAGTTAGGAGAAGGGCTTGGCCAGGAGCGTGTGGCAGTCTGAAAGCAGGGTAGGGATGCTGGCAGGGGTGCCTGTGGCCTGCTCACCAGCTCACGTTGGCGTGCAGCTCAACAAAGTCCCCCCAGGAGATGTTCAGCAGCGTATTAAACATCACCTGGATCACAACCTGGCAGGGAAGGAGAGAGATTGAAGGAGGAACGGACCTAGGCTTCATGGGGCAGCCCTAGCACCTTACAGCCCCTGCCCCCAGTCACCATAATAACCATCACCGCTTCCTGAGTGCTCACTACATCTCAAGCAATGGGCTAGTTGTTTCATCGCCATTGGACAAATGAGGAAACTGAGGTGCCCCATGGTTAAGTCACATGGATTAATGAACAACCCAATGCCAGGTTTGTCTGATTCCAAAGTCCAGGGTCTCAAATATGACTTAAAACAGCTGGCATACATTTCTCTTGGGGCATAAGGTTAGGTGACGCCTTCTTTGCCTGTCACCTGCTTGCCTTCCCAGGCACCAGGAGCTCCCCTGCCCTCTGCCAGGCTCACTGTCCCTTGGTTGCTTGGTTCCTATGGACTTGAGGCACTTACCAAGCTGCCTGCTTTAAAGATGGGAGAGCTCACGTTGCAAGAGAGGGTGCTGGTAAGAAGTCCAGTCTTCCTAGGAAGCTCCTCGCAGCTCACAGGCATCTGGCTGTGGGGCTTGGAGGGAGAACAGAGGAAGAACTTGTGATGGGCGAGGTTAAGGGTTCCCTCGATGCCATCAACCCACCTCCCTCCAGGTTTCCATCTCTGAATTCTCAGAGAGTCAAGACTAAAGAATCAGGGCACAGGTATTTATAATAGTGAACAGAGGGGAGTGGTCAAGCTGTTCAAAGAGATGGGAATGGTTCTGTAATCCTGGTACAGTCACAGGAGGTAACACCATGAGAAGGTTAAAATGTTGCTATGTCTACAGATTACTCAGCAACTATTTAAAAAAAAAAAAAATTAAAAATGCTACCATGAACTCTGGTGGCACAGTGCGTAAGACATTTGACCGCTAAACAGAAAGTCGGCAGTTCAAACCCACCAGCTGCTCCGTGGAAGGAAGATAGGGTGATCTACTTCTGTAGAGATTTACCACCTTGGAAACCCAATGCGGGGTCACTATGAGTTGGAATTGACTCAATGGCAGTGGGTTTGGTTTTTGGGTTTACTGCGAGCTTGACCCTGTGCTAAGCATTATCAACCTACTTAATTCTCATCCCAATTTTGTGGGATAGAGCTTTCAGCCTCAGATTGGAAGAAGAATTAGATAAGGAAATAGAGGCTCAGAGAGGTTAAGTGACTTCCCCAAGGTCAGAGCAAGGACCTGGTAGGGACTTGAGCCCAGATCTGTGGACTCTAGACCTCCAGTTCTCAATCACACCACTAGATGCCCCTCAATGAAGCACTGAATGTCGTTGTATCAAGATATTTCATGACCGAGGGGACTGCTCATGATACAATGTTGAGTGAAAAAATAAAAAATAAAATAAAATGTTGAGTTGCCATCACTGACAATGCAGAACTGTACAAAAAAATACCCACAGGAAGAGCAAAATGCCAATTCATTAAAACAAACAGAAGACAAATACATATACAACATAATGTGTGTGCAGGTAATTGAACAAACAGGTAAAGTCAACATACGTAGGAAAGTAAGAATATTAATAGTTAATATTTTAAAATATTAAAAGCAGACACTGTGGAGTTGTACAAGTATGAGTGACTGTCTTCTTTAAACTTCTCTGTAATCTGCAAGCTTCCCTAGTGATTATGCAGTACTTTTGCAGTAGTAATTGAAAACGTAAAAATTACATTTGAAACCATCAAGGCCACCCCGTCAGAAACACTGATTAGTGTTATGAGGGAGATAATAGACGTCACAAAACCTGAGCATGTTTTCTTGATCACCATGTAGACATGGTGCCCAGTCCACAAGCCTCTTTCACATACAGGCACACCTCATTTTATTGCACTTTGAAGACACTGTGTTTTTCACAAATTGAAGGTCAGTCGCAACACGGCATTGAGCCAAGTCTTTTGGCACCATTTTTTCCAACAGCACGTGCTCACTTCCTATCTCTGTGTCACATTTTGGTGATTCTCACAATATTTCAAACTCCTTCACACTGCTATCACACTCTTAATAGACTTTTCCTAGTCTGTCTTAGTCTGGAAGCTCCGCTGAAACCCATCCACCACGGGTGACCCTGCTGGTGTTTGAAATGCCAGTGGCATAGCCTCCAGCCTCACAGCCACACGCAAGCCACCGCACTATGACAGACTGACTGACGAGTGATGGACCTCAGGTCACACAGCCAGAGGGTGACCATCAGGCTGAGAAGCAGTGTGACAGTGCACACCAGCTGCTGCCCACGGTTTCAAGAGGTCTCAGAGGGCAAGGGGCACAGTGCCCACAAGGCACTGCCTTCTCGCTCACCTCAAGCATCACCACTTTGCGGAAGGAGAGTCCATGCGGGGCCCTGAGGCCCAGATGGACCCAGTAGGCATCTTCGCCCTTATTACTCAACGTCAGTTCCACAGAGAGGCTGGCCGAGGGGGTCAGACGCAGGGCTCTGGATCTGGGGAGACCAGGGAATAGTTATGGGACCAAGATGAGGGAAGCAGGACCAGAGGTGTGGCAATTTTGGAATTGAAGGATCTGGTAGGTGATAATAATAATAAGCGCTTGTATTCTGGCTTTACATTTTGTGATCATATCTAATCCTAACAGCTGTTTCCACAAGGGAATTATTATTATGCCCATTTCTCAGAGGAGCAAACTAAGGCCAGGGAGGGGAAGTGGCTCCTCCAGACAACACAGCCAGGCGTGGGGCTGGGAGTCTCTCTTCCCAGCAGTACCAGCTGCCTGAGGAAAATACAGCAGACCACGAGGGCCTGGGGGTTTGAAGCCTCACAGACCTGGTGGAGGAGAAAGACAGCTCCAGGTTCGCTTCACATTTCTTGTCTTCACCACAGTTCTTCTCAAAAGGAATCTGAAAGGCCGAGGAGAAAGCGCTAGGAAGCTCAGCCCCCAGACCGGAAGGGCCCTGCCCTGGCCTAGAGGCCCGCTCCCTTCCCTCTTACCTCCTTAGTCTCCGAGTGTGGGGAGGGTCTCAGGATGGGCTGGATGTCCTTGCCCTGCTGAGTGTGGAGAAGTGGGAGAGCCGGGAGACAGGACAGATTAGTTGAGGTGGTGGAACTCAGAACAGGGCGAGGGGGCTCTGGGCTCAGTTGGCCCCACTGTCCACCTTTCTGTGCTGCCTTCCTCTCTGGGGGCAGCTCCTTGATGAGTGGCGCCCATGGCTCAGAGTGTCTCATTCCCTTCTCTGGGCCTTGGTGGAGCACCTCCAATGGTTCCTCCTCCCCTAGTTTCTTTCCTTGACAGGACCTCCTTGCTGCATAGTCTCCATGCTCACCGGCCCCTGAATAGCTCCTTCATTTGGTTCTTCTCTAAGCCCCACATCCCCCCCACACATAGCTCTCTAACACCTATCAGACCAGGGCCACATTGCCAACATTTCCTGAGCTTCTACTCTGGACCAGGCCCCACTGGTATATACACCAGAGAACAAAACAGACATACCGCCTCCCTCCCAATATGGTGGGATAAAGGAAGAGGCGTTTACCACAGAGGGGCCCAGTGTTATGACGGGACAAGTATAGGGTGCCTCTAGAGCATAGAGAGGGAATCCAATGCCAGGAAATCTTCCTGAAGAAATGCCATCTCAACTGAAATCTAAAAGCTGAGGAGGAGAGAGCTAGCTGAAGAGCATGGAGGGAGAGGAACCAAGATCAGTCTACACAAAGCCATGTGCAGGGAGCAGGGCAAACTCAGACTAGCTAGAGTGCAGAGTGTTCAAAGGGGCTGGGAGAGAGCAGGGTCCAAACTCCACTGGGCCTGGCAGGGCATGTTAGGAAGTTGGGACTCTATCCTGCAGGTAATGGGGACCATCGAAGGGTTATACGGGTGATGAGTTTTGTATTTTGGAAAGAATTATAGCCTGTTGATCTCAATGCTGAGTGGCACCCTGTACCTTGATAAAACACTACACTGTAAGTATGGTCTGTGAGTTCTGTGAGCCATTGCAAGGGATTATTAAACCCAGAAGAGAAGTAGAGAGTGCCATGGGAGGGAAGGCTGGTGTTAGAATTTGTGTGACCTCCACATGACAGGGATCAGCCTATCTCCCCTGAAGTTAGGTTCTGACATTATTATTACTACAGATACGACTACCCTGTGGTGCAGTGAATTGCTTGGTCTGACCCTTTTAGCCATGGTCTTTGTGACTCCCACCAGATGACTGGGTAGAACTAAGCAAATACAGGGTGCTCAGTGGCCCATCCAGGGGACTGGACAGCTTGTTAGTAACGTAAATACGGTACAAGGCACCTGTTGGGGGGTTGTTGTTGTTGTTGTTGTTATATGCCGTCTGTTGAGTCAACCCGACTCATAGCGACCCTTCCTTGGGTTTCTGAGGCAGGATCACTTTGGAAGTAGATTGCCCAACCTTCCTACTGAGGAGTGGCTGGTGGATTTGAACCGCCAGCCTTCTGGTTATCAGTCGTGTCTTAGGTGCTATGCCATGGAAATAAGGTGAATGGAACCCCAATGTGAGGATTGGTCAGTTTTATCAATCTGTTAGCCTTAAAATGAGCCCTCCCAGAGGCAGAAGGGGAGATCTCATTACCATCAAGACAGAGAAGAGCCAAGAGTGGAGTGTGTTCTTGAACCTAAGATGCCAGCAGTGGTTGCCATTCTGAGAGAATGGCAGAAAGAGACCAGCAGAAAGACTAAGGCAGCAGAGGCAGCAGAATTAAGAGATTGGCCCAAGAGGGAGCAGTAGGCTTGCTGGCTCACAGAGTGAGAAAGCTGAGTGCCTTTGGGCAGGAGGCTTGCTGGTGGAGTGGGGTGCATTAGGTTCACCTATCAGCAGAGCTAAGAGCTTCGCAGCACTTGTCTGAGCAGGGCAGAGGCCAGGCTTAGAGGCTGAGGGCCCAAGCGAGGCAAGCGTGACAGCATAGCCCAGGGAAGGCTGCTCTGACTGAAGAACTGCATCCCGAGTGCTCCTGAATCTGAATCGTAGCCTCTGACTTCCCTCATAAAGCCCGTAACTGTGACTATCGTCCTGAGCTCTGTGTGGTCATTGCAGTGAATTATGGAACCCAGCAGAGAAGTGGAAAGTACTGTGGGAGGGACAGTTGGTGTCTGAATTGGTAAAAAGCCTGAAGGGTGGTGGCATGCCTGGTCTCATAGGAATGAGCCTTGGGCTGCTGATGGTGATTCCGTCTTCCTCTTGTGAAGTTAGAGGAGGTCAGAAGAGGATGTCACCCCTACCCGTTTTGCATACCCCCATCATTTTACACATAATATTTCCTTCCTCTGTGCTTAAAAATCCTTTAATAGCCCCTCAGTGCCCTCAGGAAAAAGGTCAAACCACTTAGTCCATCTGAAATGGGTGCTTAAGAGCAACAGTTTTCACTAAGGAAAAGGAAGACACAGAGAAGTGCACAAGAGGTATAGACGACAAAGATAAACCCTTCTACAGACTCAATACTGTGCTGTCAGTACCAACAAACATTAATCTATGGGTGGATACATAGGTAGACGGGCTGAATGATCAGCTATGTCTAGGCAAAGCGGAATATACCCATGACCATATATAAGGTCGGCAGATGATATTTCTACATGCGTATTTGTATGTGTTATAAGAATGTCCATATATATAATAGAGCTAACAGGGGACAAAGTTATAACTTCTTAGCCATAGCCAACCACACAGGGGACATCAAGCTCAATTGGCATAACATACTATACAAAAACATTGTTCTACATCCTACTTTGGTGAGTAGCAATTGGTGTTTTAAAAGCTTGCAAGTGATATAACAAATGTGAGTGACCAATATGGCAGCACTGAGGATGAGAAAGACATAGAGAGGTACATGGTAGGTACAGACAACAAATATAAACCCTTTTGCATATACAGTACTGTGTTGTCAGTGAAGGCAAACATGGGTATATGGGTGGATAGATGGGTGGACAGGCTAAACGATTAGGTATGTCTATGAAATGGGGAGTGTATCCAAGAACATATAGAGAGTTGGCAGACAATGGTCCTATAAGTTTATGTGAATGATAAGAATTCCCAGGTGTATACTAGAGCTGACAAAGGGCAAGGTTGTGGTCACTGCTTGGTCACAGCCAGCTACCCAGAGGGACCGAGTAGTTGAACCT